TAAGAACATTTTGTGTTCAAACAAAAATATTTTGATTGTCAGTGGGATATCCAGAAATGGATAAACAGGGGGGGGGGGAATGTACCTGGGCTGCCAAAGGCAACATTGCGTGCCGCGGGCACGCCAGCGCTATGGGGTCTAGGGGCATGCTCCCCGAGGAAATTTTGAAATATTTAAGCCATTTTCCTGCAATCTGAGGCATACTGTGGGCCATATTCTGATGCCTGATGACACTATCTCAACCCTAGACTCAACCCTACAATTTAGGATTTAAAACACTATTATATTTTTTCTGGGTCTGCAAACTGGGGGGGGGCGTACGCCGGCTCCGCCCTATGCTGGATACACCACTGATTGTGGTTGGGTTAGCAAGAGTACCGGTATGCTACCGAATGAAATGGCGTGTACTCATTGTACTCTCTGTCATCCTCTTTGTCTTCTCGCTATTATCACCTGGGTCTAATTTCATGCAAATGTTATTAAAATTATGTGGAGCAGTGTTGTGATAGTGTAGCATATTGCAGGAGTAACTAAATGTATTGCTTGCATTTGCAGTGAATACTGTGTTCAAGCAGTTTCAGAGATGTATGTCCGAAAAACTACCTGCTAAGATCACGACCCACTACAGCGTGATTCCACGAGACAAGGACCCTCGATGGAAAGGTAAATGTCTAAATATGGATCTGTTGCTTTTCTGACGCTACAGTGCAGAGTTTTACATGGTAGTAAATGTATAGAAATTAGCTTTAAAACGCGCGCGCGTTAATTGTGTGATTACTATGCGTGTGTGGCATACCGGCTGCAATCGTTACAGATGTGGACATGGAGAGAGTTTCGGATGAGTTTGATGCAGTGATTGTTGGTGGCGGACCAGCAGGCATGTCTGCTGCGATACGACTAAAGCAGCTTGCCAACGATGCGGGCAAAGAGTTCAGAGTGTGCCTAGTAGAGAAAGCAGCAGAAATAGGTACATCTGTTGTCTTCCACTCCAACATGCAATAGTTAAACTTTCTTGTGTGCTTAAGCTGTATATGTGTTTAGGATTGGCTATATATATCAAGAGTAGATAATAAGAGAAGAGTATGACACCGTTTTAACAGCGTTTTGCATAGTTTTGCGCCGAAAACATGCGCTCATTTGTGAAAACTGTGTGAAACCGTGTCGTATTCAAAGAACTTTTTTGAAGAACACATATGATTTTCAGGTAAATTGGTGGTGTCATATGATTAAGGGAGAATCATAGACGAAAACAAGGTAAAGTTTGAATATATTTATTCACATATTGATAGAATATTTACAAGTTGAAAACTATGCAAAACGCTGTTAAAACGGTGTCATACTCTTCTCCTATTATCTACTCTTAATATATATGCAGTCCTGTTGAGTATATTGATATTGTAGCTTGAGGTGTGTGCATGTTATGCTCTTCTGATGTCATCTATAAATCTGTAAATGATTACTGTTTTATATAGCCGTTGCCAGACCTGTGATGATGGGAAGATGATATGAAGAGAGAGATGTAGTAAAATTGGTGCATTCATAATACCTCCTGAATTTCATCTATGAGATAGTTAACACAAATCCAGGGTTTGTGTGTCTAGAAAAACTGGAAAGGTCAGGTATTTTGAAATGTCATATTTCAGGTCTTTTAAAGTCCTACAACTAGGCCATGGTCTTGAAACATCCTGGGAATTGGCTGTTATTATGTTTGCACCTAAAAAGTGTTTGAAATTGGATACGTGTCTGTCGTGCCTGAGATGAAGTGGTATTTACTCCATGCACGGGTTTCTTCCCTAATCGCTTGTTTAGGCAGTGTGGGTTGCAAAGATCATGTTCAACTAAAATCTCGCAGTCATAGAAAATGGAAATTTGAAATACTGAAAAGGTCATAGAAAGGTCATGGAAAATGTTTTGGCTTATGTGTAAAAACTAGCTAGCTAGATTGAGAATAATTACACGGAACTCCTCTATATAATTACAGTTCGGATGATGGTATCTGTTATTTCTTTGCCTTTAGCTTATTTAATGTTGTTAATGGAATCATGGCCATTGCTGTAAAGTGAGATTTTCATACGAATGTGAAATATTGCAGGTGGGCACATCTTGTCAGGGAACGTCTTTCAGCCGAATTCACTGAACGAACTCATTCCTGATTGGAAGGAGAAAGGGGTAAGATGAACAATATATCACTAGCCTAATATTTTATCTGAACTTAGTAGTCTAGGCTGCAGTAGTATTTTACATCGGCATGTCATGTTCGGTTAGAGTTACGGCCATTTTTTCTGTTTACTATAAATGAAAAATAACTAAAAGCATTTAAACTTAAAAAAAAATATCTGCTGTATGTTATGGATAATTTCATTAGTTCTTCTACCTTTCATGAAGGTGATGAGTAATTTGACTGTAGTTTCTTATTTTAAAAAGCTCTCTTCCACACCTCTGTTCATCACTTTGTAGAGAACAGCCAATTGGTCTCGGTTAATTTATGCATATCAGTTTATTTTCATGCATTTTTTTTACTGCTAGTCTTTCAAGGTGATTAGCAGTTTGACAATCACGCTGTAACCTTGTTATTGTCACATGTGGCAGGCACCGTTGCATACACCTGTGAAAGAAGATAAGTTCAGTGTGTTGACAGAGACGGGGCGGATACCAGTCCCTGTCATACCAGGTGAGTGATGGTAGTTGCATGCGAGGTTCCTTTTAACCAGGCCAGAAGTAACTATGGGTGGCAGTGGTAGTGCATTATCGAAAAATATAAATATGTTAAAGTGAACAGGAATGGTAGTGCTTGCATGAGATCTTTTGGAGAGGTCGTGAAAAAATACTTGGTGCAAAAATTCAAAGTACGTATATCAGTATTGTAACAGGAATAGTATAATAGTACTTGCATGCGTTGGGATGCCGATTAACGATGCATAGTGATACAGGTGTAGTGTGCTGTACAGCAGCCGTTTGCTGCTGCAGGTCTTCCTATGTCTAACCATGGTAACTATGTGATCCGTCTTGGCAACTTGGTGCAGTGGCTTGGAGAGCAGGCTGAGGAGCTTGGTGTTGAGATCTACCCTGGGAGCCCTGCTGCAGAGGTAGGGCCATGTCGGTATTACGAGCATTCACAATGTTCCGGGCTAAATTTAGTCAAGGTTATGTTGAAAGCTTGTAGTTTGCCCAGTGGCTGAATTGTGTGAGATTTTAAATGAAACTAGCCATTATAGTCGTGAACAACGCGAGATAATATAGACACGGTTGGTTGGTGAAAAGTTGTTTATAATTTTTTATTGAAAACTCGTTCTGCTAGTGCTGAGGACTATTGTAACATTCTATATTTACGTCTTCCGTAGGTTTTGTTTCATGAAGATGGGAGTGTGAAAGGAATTGCAACAGCCGATGTCGGCATAGCTAAAGATGGTTCACCCAAGGTAAGCGTGGGTATTAACCTTAAATAACATCAAGAGTGCATAATAGAGATTATGCACTCTTGTACTCTATGCACTCTTGCACTCTATTATGCACTCTTGATAACATGCAATAAGGCAAAAACAGTTTTTTTCCAAAACCTATAATACCACTCAACACAATCATATACATTGTAATGCCTTTATTCTTGACACCACCAGTAAACGCAAACGATTGTCACAGAATACAAATTTCATTACAATATACGAACAAAATAAAATCTCAAGTTTAGAAATACAAATTACTGCTAGTACAAGAACGGTAGCTGACAGCACTATCTAATAGCTCTGACACCTAACCAATGTATGATTGGATTAAGTGTAAATACCAAGTACAGGACAGTATCAACCCATAAGATTAACTTGTAAATGGACAAAGATTCGGGATCTAGCAGAATCGCGAAACAAATTAGCAAAAGTATTTGGCCTTCACATACGAGTCGCGACGTTTATTCTTATGGCCGTGATGTAGAACACACTAAGACGAGCAATCACATAGTAAGATGGCCATTTAAATTGCAGGTTTTAACCATGTGAATCAAATGAAATTTATTTCATACTTTCAGTATTTACACGTGAATCTCTATGTTTCTCATCGTAGGAGACGTTCGAGCGAGGCATGGAGCTGCATGCGGGCATCACAATGTTTGCCGAGGGTTGCCATGGACACCTAGGCAAGCAGCTGTACAAGACGTTCAACCTGCGAGCCAACTGTCAGCCGCAGACCTACGCCATCGGCTTCAAGGAGCTGTGGGAGGTGGAGCCGTCGCGGCATCGCCCAGGCCTGGTGGAGCACAGTCTCGGCTGGCCACTGGTACAAACGCTTGCGTGCGCGTCTTTATAGGAGGTTGGTTTGGCGATTTGCATTGAGTAACTGCCATCACCATGCACGGCTATCGGTTTGTAAAGCTAGCTTGCTGATAATTGCAATGGACAGGGAACCATCTTAGCTGTATAGTTATCGAGTTAATTAGCAAAAGGGAGATGGTGAAAGGGGAATATGGGGAGAGAAGGAAAAAGGGGCGGGCAGAGGGTAGGATAGGAAAAAGAGTGAGAGGGAGGGAGGGGGCGGGAGTGTGTGAATGATGATAGTTCTTCGAAATATTACTGTGTAATGTTGTTTTACTTGCATTACTGACCCATGTTACAAGGTTACTGTGCTACTGTGTCTCACAGGATCGCTTCACATATGGCGGATCCTTCATCTACCACCTTGACGAGGGGGCTCCACTGGTTGCCGTGGGATTTGTGGTTGGTCTCGACTACAAAAACCCCTATCTGAGTCCGTTCAAGGAGTTCCAACGTTACAAGACGCATCCGTACATCAGACAGACCTTCGAGGGTGGTACACGACTGAGCTACGGAGCCCGAGCACTGAACGAAGGCGGCTTCCAGGTTGGTGGCAGTTTGCACGTGTGGAGATTGTGTGTGGTAACTAATCATGGATCAAGCTATTATGCAACCAGCTACAAGCTCCCAACTCATTCCCTGAGACTGTTGGCTCATGCTCGTCGTCGATTACTGAATGTGGCACTGCAGAAGATCTAGTCTTGGATAACAATGTAGATTTGTTAGATTTGTCGATTGCTGAGATTACTCGTAGAGTGGGACGTTGTTGGCATGCAAATGTTTTTTCTGTCAAAATCCTGTGTGTTGATTTAATCGTGTGTTGAAATTGGTGAGTCAGCATTCTTATATCATTTCTCTTTTTCCATATTTGTTCAAATTTTCAATGCCTTTTTATCGATAAAGTGCTTATAGCCACAAGTTACTTGTACTACAGTATAGTGCATTCGATGAAATGATCTTACCCGACACGTTGAATATCGTTATGTCAATCTTGAATCAAGGCTGATAAGTCTTTATGACGGGAAGCTGTAAAAATACTATATTAGGAAGTGGCAAGCATTGTCGATGAACAAAATATCTTTTAGCACACTATCACGTGAATGTGGCTGATTAGACTGTTTGCTTGCCACGTATTTCAGTCAATACCAAAGTTAACTTTTCCGGGTGGATGCCTGATAGGATGCCTACCAGGTTTCGTCAACGTGCCAAAAATCAAGGGCACCCATACTGCCATGAAGAGTGGCATGTTAGCTGCCGAGTCTGTCTTCGAAACGCTGAACCAAGAGAACACCCAGTCCAACACAATAGGTTAGTGTGCACTGTTCTCAGTCATGAGACAAGCAACGCTATCGCTTACCTTGAAATCGCTTACCTCTGTTTGCTGGTCACTCGTGTTCTTGTGCTTGCCCGTTTTCGTCAGTTGCAGTCTTCTCTCTCGACAGCTCCGGAGCCATCAAGCTATCAAGAGCTCATCCAGAACAGCTGGGTGTGGCAGGAGATGAAATCAGTGCGGAACATACGGCCGGCTGCCCACAATTTTCTCGGAATTTGGGGCTCCATCCTGTATACGGGCACAATCTACTTCCTGTTTAGGGGCAAAGAGCCATGGACTCTCAACCACGGTATGTCAGCTTTACCACCGATATGCCCCCGAGTTGTGTATTGTGCAGTGACTTTACACTGAATAATCATGTACGCCCTCTGAATGAGAGAAATGCTGTCCATGGATTTTACGCCGTTGCAGTTGCTGTAGCAATAATACTCGTGTTCGAAATTTGCTTGATTACCTGCTCTGAATTGTTGAGTGTAGTGTTCATACACAACTTGCATTCTGCACTCGTTATTATATAATCTTGAGCAGGTAATTGTACACATCGCGCATGTGGCGATCTGCCCGAACGCAGTGCTCAATGCTAATTAACTCACTCAATGAACAACCACGTTTTGCACACCAGGTGGCATTGACTCATCGCATTTGAAGCCAGCTGCGGAGTGTAAGCCGATCGAGTACCCCAAGCCCGATAACAAGTTGAGTTTCGACTTGCTGAGCTCAGTGGCGCTCACGGGAACCAACCACGATCACGACCAGCCGGCTCACCTGACTTTGCTAGATGACTCTAAGCCTGTCGAGCACAACCTCGCTGTTTTCGACGGGCCAGAGCAACATTTCTGCCCTGCTGGTAATGCTCGCACGCACGCACAGCCAGCATTCGTTAATTATAGCCATACTAACAGCCATACAGCGACTAACTACCTCTTACATATTAGTAGTGCAAGGAGGTTCTCGTTCCCAAGTGGAGGCAATTTTCTGCTATATATTACATATATTTATACATGATTATGTCATATCTGTTGGAGGGAAATTGCTAAAATAAATTTTGGCTAAACGAAAGTTAGTGATAGATTGACAAACTATGTCTTGGAAACAGTTGTAATTATGCAACAGGGTGTTGTATGGATGCACTGTGCTGCATGTGCTTATGCAAGACTTATTTCTTGATCTGTTTGCAGACAAGCACCAGATCATACATGTGAATTCTGAGATATATAACACATCGGTTATTTCTTATGTTACGATATACAGATGAGCCGTTACGATGCACAGATGAGTTATTTCTGCATGTCTTTGCAGGTGTTTATGAGTATGTTCCCACAGAGGATGGCAAGGGCATGAGGCTGCAGATCAATGCACAGAACTGCATCCACTGCAAGACGTGTGATATCAAGGACCCTAGCCAGAACATTAACTGGGTGTGTCCGGAGGGTGGAGGCGGGCCTGCATATAGTGGCATGTAATGTCTAGCTAACAACCTTAGTGAAGATTGTCAGCGACTATCGAGTAGTATGCCTTGGAATCGTGAAGGACACGAGGTTAAGGGTTACGTCGATGTGATGGCAATCACTTGATGCTGGGTGTAGTCGGCCATAGTAGCTGGCGAGTCATCCCTGCTTGCTACTGTCAGTAATGCATTCTTTGTAAAGAGTGGTTGCACAAGAAAGATACACAAGAGTACCTGCTCACAAGAGATGCTATGCGAGTGTTCTGTAAGAAGGCAGAAGAACTTTGCTAACGTGATCAGTATTGTTATTTTATTTGTAATGGGTTAGATATCTGTGATACCGTCAGTAATCAAATTTACACATTTTTATACAAGAGTGTAGAAATGCATTTCCGTCTAAACCCCGGAGTGAAGCATTATAGAAACGCATCAGGCCAAGTGGTTGTTACTATTCGAAATTGTAAATAATTTTGTCCATCAGGTATCAGAACCTTTGCCTTTGTCGTGCTGCACGATATAAGGCTGCAGAAACCATGGAGGAAGTATTAGATGGAATACCTACCTTCAGTAATGAAATTATCCTCAACGGGTACTTTTTATGTTATATTGTCATATGGCAATATACCGTTATAGTTTTAAGCATAGCTATTTCACATTAGATTTTATGAGTAACTCATAAAAATATTATTCAATAAAAAGCAATGATTCCTCCATTCGCCTTTCATTAGTTGTTAATTATTGCTACACTAACTCCTCGCGTTACTGTGAGCTAAATTCGTGCTTACTATTTATTTGGTATGAAAAATTTGGTATTTCGTTCTGCTTTGAACCAGTGTGCCTGTATGTGTGTATACTTCTGTTGTGCACCTCGACCAATGGGTTGTGCACGTGGGACCCAGCGTGTGACTCTATGCTCGTGTACTCTTCATGCCCTTTCCGTGCATATTCACCTTAATATAAGTACAAACGACTGTGTGAACGTTACCCTGTCTTGCTTTTTACTAGATTATAGGCAATTGTCATGTCCCCCCTGCGGTTGGTTTTGCAGGTTATTCAGTTGTAATTGTCATATCTGTTATTCGTTAATACACGATATTCGTATGAAAACGACCTTTGTGAGTTCTTATTCGTTTCGTTTTGTAAACGCAAAATAATATATAAAATAACATTCATGAAAAGGCTATTATTTTAAAACTCGGTGTGGCTTTCTGGAACATTTTCCTCCTGACATTTCTTTGTCATTTATTCGTTTAACATTCTAAAGCAAAATTCACTTCGTGGTTCATAGTCGCGTGTTAAACTGTCATCGCGTTGTGATTACTTTCATAAATCATGATGATTTTGAATTCCAGACCACTACTCACCTCGTGGCATGAATGCACTTAATGCACTGAACAGACAATTATCTATCCGGTAAAATGAGGAACGATAACTACGTACTTGCTCCGTAGATACGATTCACCGAGATACCATATACATTAAGCTGCATTTCTTCGAATTTCTTTCCTATTTGGATAAAGTATCGTATATATTTATAAACGTAACGTGTATAATACAGCTGCTGATAAGAATTAGGTGTACCTTGAAGAATATGTGTCCTCTTGCACGGTATACAGTGGCGGTTATCTAATCGATCATATACCCACATCGAAATTTTGGGCCGTAGGATTTTCGTCACATGCAAACATGCAAACAAGCACGCGCGCGCACGCACATGCACGGTGTTTTCTGTGTGATTGGCGCCGGTATGTGCTCCCCACGAAGTCTCTAGATAGTGCATGCCTTACAGGAGCAATGTAGGCATATTATTTATTTAATGAGAACTGGCGATTCTGTACCAATAATCTATTATTCAGTCATTTCACATGTTTCGCTATGCCAGGTTGGGATCGCTATTATACAAACCCTGCTTACCCGAACATATGTATATAAATATATATAGTAACTAGAGCACTCGGAGAGCGCAGACCTCCGCCAAGGCAGCTCAATTCTCTCACTGTGGGAAAAATTTAATTAATTAATTAATTAAATAATTAATTGGATTCGGATCACGGCCAAAATGTCATCAATTCGAAGTTGGCCCATTTCTGACCTATCCTGAAAATTTAATAAATTAATTAATTGGATGCGGATCACCACCAAAATGTAATAAATTCTAAGTTACCCCATTTCTGACCTATCCTGAAAATTTTATTAAGTAATTAATTAATGATCCGGATCACCACGAAAATCGAATCAATTCTAAGTTAGCCCATTTGTGACCTATCGTGAAAATTTTATGACAATCCGTCCATAACTTTTTCAGTTAGGCTGTACACGCACAAACGCCCAAACCAACAAACACACGCCGGTGAAAACATAACCTCCTGCCAACCCCTTGGCGGAGGTAATTAGCGTACTATATATATATAATTATATCAAGAGCTAATAAATCAAGAGCTAATAATATTTATTAGCTCTTGATATATATATATATACATATATATATATATATATGTGTGTGTGTGTGTGTGTGTGTGTGTGTGTGTGTGTGTGTGTGTGTGTGTGTGTGTGTGTGTGTGTGCGTGCGCGCGTGTGTGCGTGCGTAGGGAGAGAAAAAGAGAGCGACAGAAGAGTGAGATATTGGGTGAGGGTGTGTGTGTGCATGTGTAAGTAGATAGGGTACCTGGCAGATTTCTGGTGAAACTCCTCTTTCACGGTAACGGTCAATGCATCACGGCCGCTTTTTGCGTATATGTATCACGGTCATGTAACTCCGCCTCTCGTTCATGGGTAGACGGTGCTCGCTGAGCCGTTATAATCCCACCATCTATATAGTTATCATCAACGTCTAACTCCTGATTATATCGCGGCAATATAAATTATGTTTGCATTTCGTTCGGCTAGTCGGTTTTCCCACGCGCCGCGCAGTTTTTGATTGTAATCTGATGGGAAAATGGCTCGCACCTGAATGAATGTATACGTAACTGGTTATTCGATATGCGACTTGTAGATCTTGACTAGAGAAAGAGAGAGAGAGAGAGAGAACGAAGAGAGAGAGATAGAGAGAGAGAGAGATGAGAGAGAGAGAGAAGAGAGGGATGAGAGAGAGAGAAGAGAGAAGAGGAGACGAAGAGAGAGAAGAGAGAGAGCGATGAGCGAAGGCAGAGAATGAGAGCATAGGGAGAGAGTAAGAAAGACGAGAGAGAGAGAGAGAAGAGAGAAAGTGAGAGGAGAAGAGGAGCAGAGAGAGAGAGGAGATGAGAGAGAGAGAGAGAGAAGAGAAGAGAGAAGAGAGAGATAGAGATGAGAGAGAGGAGACGAGAGACGAGATGGGAGAGAGAGAGAGAGAGAGGCGAGAGAGAAGAGATGAGAAAGAGAGAGAGAGAACACACACCACACACACACACACACTGCACACGCAGACACGCACCCACAGCACACGCGACACGCACACGCACACCACAAGCGCACACGCACACCCACGCACACGCACACGCGACACGCACACGCCACAGCACAACGCCACACGCACCACGCACACGCAGTACGCACAACCACAAATGCACGCACACGCATGACGCACACGCAGACCGCAGACACGCCAAACCGGACTGCACCGACGCGCACACCACAACACACACACACACACACACCGCATGACACACACAAAATATATATTATTGTAAAACTACTGTATAATATAATATGTATAATATCGAGAGAGAAGTGAGTGAAACGATGAGAGAGATTTATAGGTTATATCGTTTGCGTTTTACGCGTTCATTTCAATTCTCCACGCAGATATGTTATCATTCTATCATAATTTTGCGACAGTAAGGATATATATCATAACGTTGCAATAAGAACGAGTTTTCAATGGTGCGCTATCGATTAGCCTAACGAATTTTTCAACAATATATATATATGTGTGTGTGTGTCGTTTGTGTGTGTGTGTGGGTGTGTGTGTGTGTGTTTGTGTTGTGTGTGTGGTTGTGTGTGATGTTGATGTGTGTGTTGGCGTTATATATGGGCCTACGCCATAAGATGTCCTCAACTTGCACAATGATCGTCAATATAGCAATGAACACACGCGGAGAATGAGGCTGCTCGCCCGCACAGGAGCCACGTTAGTCGCATAATATAATGTATGCCGCCCCTCGCCTCTGGGTTTCCGCGTTACAACGATCGAAAATAATCCACAGTGGCCCCTCTGTGTTATGGCTACACATTTTTGCCAGGAAAAGCCTCTGTTTGGTACGTCCTTTGTTGTTTCGCAGGTCACGTCCTGGACAGGTGGCGCGCGCTGTGTTATATGCCTATTAATTAACCGTCATTTTCGAGATTTGCTTAGCTTAAGAACTGTAAACCTTTTATTTTGGTTGTGCTCAAACCGTTTCAGTGGCAGACATGTCGCGGCTGGAAGCCAAGGCTATTTTCGTAAACCCGCTGATAACCACACAATGTTTCGCTCACGCATCTTCTATAAACGGAGCACATATATATACTATATATATCATATGCGCAGTTTCTATACCATCACTCAGGCGTTTAAATAAAGGCCTCTCAATTTCAATCTATTCTGAATCAACATAAACTAGTAGTTCCATTTATAGTGATATAAGTTTCTTACTGCATCAGCATCGCAGTGAATGATACGATGAAGTTTGACCGCACATACAGCATAGATAGAGTAGATAGTATAGTAATAGATAGATAGATAGATAGAGATAGATAGATAGATAGATAGATAGAATAGAAAGATAGAATAGATAAGATAGATGAGTAGATAGAGTAAGATATATAAAGATAGATAGATAATAGATAGATAGATAGATAGATTAGATAGATAGATAGATAGATAGATAGATTCAGATATGCATAGATTAGAATAGATAGATAGATTAGTATAGGATAGATAGATAGATAGATAGATAGATATAGACAGACATATAGACAGAAGGGAGGAAAGAAAGATAAAGGATAGATAGATGGATCTGATGGATGGAATGGATTAGCA